CCACCCATGGTCTCAAGTTAACAAGTTAACATTTAATTAATACTTTGATAAATGTATTAGTATGAAATATATATATGTTGAATTCTGATTTGGGATCCATAGAATGAAGCAACTCCTCTGATTGTCCAACAGATACATTCCTAGGGGTTAAAGCAAAGAAACAGTGAAAGTATATGGCAATAAAGATCATCTCCTTTGTGTCTTAAGGCAGGCACTGGTCCCTGGGAAAGGGAGGTGGGAGGAGGCCATATCTTATACTAACATGTTCCAACCTCTCATCAACTCAAGATTGGAGATGTGGGAAGAACATCTCCCTACAAAAGAAACTAACACAACGAAACAGGGCTTCTTTGTTCAATTTGCGACTCTGAATAAGACACAATTATTCAGTTATTGCTCCAATATCTGGGAATTTTGCTGAGCAGGCTTATTTTAGCAAAAGCAAGGTTATCTTTTGGTTATTCTGCTTTTTCCTAGCTAATCACTATTCGCTAGGCCTCTGGTCTCTTGTCCAAACTCTGGAGTTTGGGCCTGGAAAAGAGCTGGCACAATTCATATACCAAGTTATTACCTAAGCTGCACATGGATTTTAACCCGTCATCTCTCCACACCTGCACCACTTTCCCCTTTGGATATATCTGCAATGTCAGTTATTAACTAATCCATATTACACAGAGGAAGCACCTTCCCCTTTGCTCATCCCCCCCTGACAGCTCATTTCTATTGACTGCTTCTGTGCACTGGTTATGTTTCTCGGAGATGCCCAACGCACTTCTCAGCAGCCACTGTTGGAGATTGGGATTCATAGACCCAGTTAAGCCCTGTCCTAAGGCACATTACACTGAGTGGAAAGTGCGTCATAAGGTTCAGTGACCTCCCCAGCCCAGCCCAGACCTGATGGAGGCGTGTTACTGTCCACTCCACCAGCCAATACTCCCAACCTACACGGCTCCCTGTCGCCTTATATACGCTGGGTGCAACCCGCATGCAAATCCTTCCTCACAGGGTTGCTGGTTAAATACAAACCCCTGGTTTTAGGAGCCTCAGTCTCTCACCAGACACCAAACCGCTCGGTCCTGCCTGCTGGGGAGTTTCTCTCATTGCATGAAAACGAAAATGAAATTTCTGTTGCTTTTCCTTTCCCTGTTCTCTGCCCACACCTGTGAGTGTCCATGGGTCAGTGCGGGGAACTGGTGACAGATCTGTGGAGTCTCTCTGAGGCTAATGTCTTTCTTGCTTTCTTTCCCTTTTCCTAGGTGTCCTCTGTGAGGTGCAGCTGGTCCAGTCCGGCCCGGGAGCGGTGAAGCGCGGAGAGACCCTCACCCTGACCTGCGCTGTCTCCGGGGTCTCCATAACTACTCAGTATTACACCTGGAACTGGATCCGGCAGCCCCCGGGGAAAGGGCTGGAGTGGATGGGGTATGTGTACCCGTATAACAGCGGGGAGACAGGCTATGCCCCGTCTCTCCAAGGCCGAATCACCATCTCTGCAGACACTGCCAAGAACCAGTTCTCCCTGCAGCTCCGCTCGCTGACAGCTGCAGACACCGCCACCTATTACTGTGCCGGAGACACAGTGACACAGAGCAGAGCAGGACTGGCACAAAAAGGGGAAGCGGTTTCTAAATAGCCCAGGGAGGCCACAGTTACAGGGATAGAGGAGCCCTGCAGAGAAAGAGACACACACAGTGAACTCACCAGGGACGGCTCTATGTATTTTGCCGCCCCAAGCACGGCAGTCAGGAGGCTTTCGGCGGCAGGTACGCCGAAGCCGCGGGACCGGCGGACCTCCCGCAGGCATGCTGCCGAAGGCTCCCTGACTGCCACCCACACAGCGACCGGCAGGCCGTCCCCCCGTGGCTTGCCACCCCAAGCACGCGCTTGGAGTGCTGGTGCCTGGAGCCGCCCCTGGGCTCAGGGAGGCTGCGGCTTCAGACCCAGCCGGTGAGAGAGAACAGGTGGCCATCCCTGTCCCAGCTGCTGAGTTCCAGGCCGAGCTGCAGAAAGATCCCTCCTTGCGGAAGATAAGGGACCTGGCCGACCTCAGTGCAGTACAGACCATGGGAAGAGGTGGCCGGAAAAGGTTCCTGTGGGAGAAGGGGTTCCTGTACCGAGAATGGGCTTCCCCAGGGGAAAAGGGGTCAGGGGGGATCAGGAGGCAGCTGGTGGTACCCCAGAAGTATCGCCACCAGCTGCTGTACCGGGCCCATGACATTCCCCTCTCAGGGCACCAGGGAACCTGGCGCACCCAGCAGAGGCTGCTACGGAGCTTTTACTGGCCTGGGGTCTTTGTTACTGTCCGACAGTACTGCCGAACCTGTGACCCCTGTCAGAGGGGGAGGAAGGCCCGGGACAAGGGGAAAATGGCTTTAGGACCCTTACCCAGCATAGAGGAGCCTTTCCAGAGGGTGGCCAAGGTCAAAAGGGGGGCTCTTAACCAAGAGAGCCCGAATCACAGCCCTCCAGACTGGAACGCTGGGAGAAGACCCCATCCCAGTGTGAACCCCAGGGGTATTGGGGTGGCAAAAGGGCACAGGCCACATAAACCTTCCCACATGCAGCCTGCAAGCACCATCAAGCACAACAGACCCACGGGAGGGCCTGAAACTGGAAGGGCCTGGTGTAACTCCCACCAAGGAATGGGAGAGATGATGTGGCATCCATGGGAACGTTGGTGGGGTCGAACTTTCCCAGGTCACCGGATAAAGTGACCCCGCTCAGTTCGGTCTCGAAGGGGGGAGAGATGTGACGAAGTGGGAATGTTCTTAATGTTTCCTCTGAATACTGTGTGGGTGCCTCAGTTTCCCCTATGGGGATGAGATTGTTGCAGAGCAAAGGGCCAGTGCACATAAATGGCTGACACTCTGTCTCCTGGCAACTAATGGCCGGGGCCCTTCCCCCCAGCAAGGGGATAGCTAAAGGTGTTGGAGAACAAAGAGATCAGGTGACCCCCTGGCCCGGGAAAGGAACAAAGCCCAGAGGAGGAGGGGCTGGAGGGTGAGTCAGTTTGGAGCTGGCTGGGAAAATGGAGGGGAGCCCAGATGGGCCTCTGGCCTCCCAACGGGGCTCTGGCCTCCCTGCCCCCCCCCAAGATGGATCTAACTGAGGGGGTCCTGTTGTCTGTACCTGCAAGACCTGTCTTGGACTGTGTTCCTGTCATCTAAATAAACCTTCTGTGTTACTGGCTGGCTGAGAGTCATGGTGAATCGCAGGCAGCCGGGGGTGCAGGGCCTTGTTTCCCCCCACACTCCATGACATAGACCTATCCTCCTTTAGTTCTTTTTTGAACCTAGTTATACATTTTGCCTTCACAGCCTCCTCTGGCAAGGAGTTCCACAGGTTGACTGTGTGTTGCATGTCTGTTTAAAAAGCCCCCACGCAAAGCGTTCCATTTCCCACGTGTTCCTCATTCCTGCCACTGCAACCCCAGCCCAGAAACTGCATCTTCTACACGGGCTCGGTTCCCTCCCCTTTCCCAAAAGCTCTTTGTGAGCCCATGCTCCTAAAACCGGCCTTTCCTCCTTCGTTAGATACTCCGAGGAGAGTCTCAGCGTCGGGACATCCATTCTCTTTATTGTCTCTCTGCCCACTGCAGTTTGCAGTATCCCCTGCTGCGATGTTTATTTTACAATCCCAGACAGGAAGAGGGGGGGTCTGACTCTCCCATCCCTCACACAGCGCTCCAGCCTCCCAGAAAGTTTTTCCCCACACCTGTGTTGGGGAAAACCTCACAATTCCCTTGTGTCCTGTCCGGTCATTTCCAGGTTTCCTGAGGGTTTACAGGGACTTTTAAATGTGAGCAGGGGGGAAAGAGGCTGAGCCCTCCCTGCTCAAACAAACCCTCTGTTATCGCCTTCATTCGAGCTCAAAACAACCCCACTTTATACTCCCAAACACACAGTGCCAAGATACCACGGTGATGGGCTCCAGTCTCAGACCCCGGACAGCTGGAACCCGGGCAGTGATTAGGAGGTGTTCGCTAATGCTCTGCTCATCCCCCGGCCTGGCACACAGCTAATGAGGGGAGACTGGCCAATGGGCGCTGGAGATCGCTCCTTGTTCCAGCTCCTTTTCAAGAGGTTGTGGTGTTTTATGCAAATCTCAGGCCCCCGTTCCCCATTTAAAGAGCAGCTCCTGTGTTCTCACCGGGACCCGTCTCCTCAGGGCCTGACCCGCATCTTCATTGGTTTGCGTTGCACTTGAAGACCAACATGAAATCTTTACTCGTCCTTGTGCTGTCACTGGCCGCTGCCTCGTGTGAGTTCCCAGGGGAGATTTGGGAGGCAGGATCGATGCCTTGAAGCAGAATTGGGGCTTAAACGCTCTGTTTTCCTTTCCCCAGGTGTCCTCTCCCAGCTGCAGCTGGTGCAGTCCGGCCCGGGAGCAGTGAAGCCCGGAGAGACCCTCACCCTGACCTGCGCTGTCTAGGGATTTTCCATCAGTAGTGTGAGGTGGCACTGGGTCCAGCAGCCTCTCAGGAAAGGCCTGGAGTGGCTGGGGTATATAGGCGCTGCCGGGGGCACAGGCTACACCCCGTCTCTCCCGAGCCGCCTGAGCTTCTCCAGAGACACGGCTAAAAACGCACTCGCCCTGCGGCTGCGCTCGCTGGCAGCCGCAGACACTGCCACCTATTACTGCGCCAGATACACACACAGTGACACAGAGCAGAGCGGGACTGGTATGAAAAGGGGACGTGGCTGATAAAGAGCAAAGTGAGGCCAGAGTGACAAGGGTACTTTGAGCCCCACCCCCCACACTGCCCAGAAACACACAGTGGTTAGAGCAGGACAAACATCCCCAGAGATATTATCCAAACTGCCCCCAGAGCTACCCAGTTTCTCTCACCCGATTGACCTGTCAGCTGCCCCAGGAATCGTGTCCAGCTACTGCCAGAATACAGTGAGTGGTTTGTATTTCAGTGGCTCTAGGCACAGGCAGGGAACAATTCATGGATGTACAGACAGGAACTGGTGGAGGTGTCCATCTGTTTGCCTCTGAGTGTCTCTGCATGTTTGTGTAGACTAAGGTCTATTTCCAGCACAATCCTCCCCTCCCAACACGTACCCACCCCACGCCTCCTTCCCTCCAGCAGGGGGCAGCGGTCTCTCCCCCCTCCCTCTCTCTCTCACACACACACACACACACACACACACACACAGCTTTTCTATATGGAAATCACCTGACCATCAGCTGCTGCATTTCTCTCCAGGGCTTGGTCCAGACTCTCCCCCGTGTCCCAGGCATCGCAGCCCCTGTTCTGACAAAGCCCAGACCCTGCAGCGTCTCTCCGTGCCCAGCGCCGCGCATGGAAGCCCAGGGGAAATCCACAGATTCTGTTGCCTCAGTCTCTCCCCAGAACCCGAACTGCTCGTTCTTGCCAGGACGTTTCCCTGCCGGCCTCCAACCCGCACCGGGAACTCTCTGTGACTATTCCTTCCCCTGGAGCCCCAAACACCCCCCGGGCCTCATCCCACCCTGCCAGGAGCAGTGCGCCAAACTGGTACATAAGTACGGCTGTCATCCACTCCCCTCTTCTGGCAGTTGGAAGTTTAGGTGCACCCAGAGCATGGAGTTGGTCCCTGACCTTCTTGGCTAACAGCCATGGATAAATCTATCCTCCTCTAATTCTTTTTTGAACCTAGTTATACATTTTGCCTTCACAGCATCCTCTGGCAAGGAGTTCCACAGGTTGACTGTGCATGTTGTGTGTCTGTTTAAAAAGGCCCCCACGCAAAGCATTCCATTTCCCACACGTTCCTCATTGCTGCCACTGCA